GGAACACGCAGGCTTTCAAGGGCGGGGGGGGGCGGGGGGGGGACAGCGTTGTCTGTAATCGGCACCGGGCTAGGTGACAGTGCACGCTGGAAAAACCTGCTTTCATTTGGGCGAAGAGGCATCTCCCGCTCCCGGTCAGCCCCCACCATGCCCTCCACGCTGCCGCCCGTCCTCTGCAGTGACACTCTTTGGGAGAAATCTCTGGCTTCTCGCCGGCTCCCCGTGAGGTCCATGTGCCATGGATTTCGTGTTTGTGGGACAGTGACTATGTGAACGGGTCTCACACACGCACACACGCACACACGCACACACGTTCACTTACGGGAACGCGGCCGCCATAGAGCTGCTGCTCCTGGGTGACTGCTGGTTCTGTGGAGCATTTGTTTTCAGGACGCACAGGACGTCATGGGACACGGGCTTCCACGTTAGTCCACACGACAGCTCTGGTGCATGCAGGGGGCTCTGCGGTCCCAGGAGCATCTGAGAAAAACCACTTCCCCTTTTCTGACCTTGATCTATTCCCACCCCTTCTCACCCTGAAACTGTTTCTCGTTCTCCCCGCAAACCCACGGCTGTTCAGAAAGATGGACGGATGGAGAGTCCGAGTTCCTGGGAATTCTGTGTTTCTACGCAAGCAGCTTGAAGTCTCACCAGGGCCTCTCGGCGATGCAGTGACGGGAGGGGCGGCCGGTCCCTGGCAGAGCCGCTGGAGCACAAGGGCAGGAGGAGAGGAGCAGCGTCAGCCCTGAGACTCTGATATGTGCGGCTCTGAGTGCCGAGCACCGCACACATGCCTGTGACCGACACGCCTGTGACACGTGAAAGGTGGCTGTCCGGGAGTCCTCTCTGAGCTCAGTGTCTTCCCACGAACAGCGTCACTTCCTGTTTGAATGGCCCCTCTCTGTCCTCTGGACCCACTCCTGGGAGCGCCTCGGCCGGAGGCTCCGTCCCCCGACGGGCGTTCAGGCGCGGCCTTTCCGGCCGCACGGAGGAGTCCGGCTGACAAACACTGCAGGGGAGGCCGGGGCTGCTCGCGGGATCTTGACTTTGAAGATGTTTGTTTAAGACAAACACGTGTGGCCCCAGCTCAGGCCCTGAGCCCTCTGGACCCCGTGGCCCCTCCGCACTCTCTCCCGGGGGGGGGGGGGGGGAACGGAACCCCAGGCCTTTCCTTGTTCTCCGGAGCCTCAGCGCGGTCACGGGCAGTTAACCATTAACCTGGCCAGACCCTCAGCACTCGCCCAGCCGGCTGCCCGGCAGCCTAGATGCAGGGCCGTGCACCCCGGCAACCGGGTCTGCCCCCTCTGCCTGCCCCCCCCCCCCTCAGAGCCCCAGCCCCGGAGGCATTCCGCTCTCTGCACACAGAAGCATCATTTCCTGCCCCAGATGGCAGTTAGCGCACTGAGGGGGGTGGAGTGTGGCTGGGGGTGGGGGAGTGCGGGCCGGTCCCCCCCTCCCTCTGGCAGCACTGGGTCAGGAGAGTCCCTGGGAGCAGCTAGGCGTGGCCGGAGCCGGCCTCAGGCAAACCTCGTGAAAACAACAAAGCACGTGGGGCCCGAGGGTTCCTGGACCCCGGGCTGCGAGCCTGCAGCCCTCTGTGTGCGGGATCCCGCTCTCCTCTGCCCCAGGCCCCACGGACCCCCTTCCCGGTGCACCACCCTCTCAGCTCTTCGCGCCACATCACCAGAGTAGGAGGGGGAGGACCCCGGGCGGACAAGACGGGTGCACTCTGAGCTCTGCCCTCGCTCAGGGCTCCACGTGTCAGAGCTGGGCGGGCACGGGCGAGCAGCAGCGACCGAGGCCGTGTTCTCACCCTACTGCCTGGGTGGGCCAAGCGGGGGGAGGCCTGACCCCATTGCAGCCCTCCCCTCCCCCAGGGAGACATCACAGCCCAGTTCCAGCCCCGGAGAGACCGCAGGCTGGGCGAGGGCGAGGGCGAGGGCTAAGGCGAGGGTAGATGTAGGATTAGGATTAGGATTAGGATTAGGTTAGGCTGTGGTCTGCTCTCAGCAGCTCACTCTGAAGCACTCTAGTCCCTCCCGGTGCCCATGGGAATCCGAGACGGGCTGTGACTGAAGCCGTGTCCGGCCAGTCCTGGAGAGGGCTGTTCTGAGGGGGGTGCGGAGTCTCAGCGGCCACACCGGGCCCCTGGGGGACGGCGCGGGGCGGCAGTGCGCTCTGTCCTTTTCATTCGCCCACAAAGGCTGTTCTGGAGCGAAACTGCTGTCCCCTCGGGAGCCCCTGGGCCCCACTGGTCCCTCCGCGGCGATGGCTCTCCCCCCACCCGGGCCTGTGCTCAGGCGCTCAGCTCCAAGGACAGAAGCCGGGATCCGCCTGTCCCGCTGCTGCCGATCAGAGATGGAGCCACAGCCCGGGGGCCTCTCGGCCGCTCAGCCTCTGCTGCTGCTCATGGGGCCTGGCCCGGGGGGCACAGCAGCCGCCTGGCACCCCGCGGCCGCCCCTCACCCCGCGGCCGCCCCTCACCCCTCACCCCGCCCCTCACCCCGCGGCCGCCCCTCACCCCGCGGCCGCCCCTCACCCCTCACCCCGCCCCTCACCCCGCGGCCGCCCCTCACCCCGCGGCCGCCCCTCACCCCTCACACCGCCCCTCGCCCCGCACACCGCCCCTCACCCCGCACACCGCACCCCGCCCCTCACCCCGCACACCGCCCCTCACCCCGCACACCGCCCCTCACCCCGCACACCGCCCCTCACCCCAAGGCCGCCCCTCACCCCGCGGCCGCCCCTCACCCTTCACCCCGCGGCCGCCCCTCACCCCGCGGCCGCCCCTCACCCCGCACACCGCCCCACGCCCCGCGGGCCGCCCCTCACCCCGCGGGCCGCCCCTCGCCCCGCACACCGCCCCTCGCCCCGCGGGCCGCCCCTCACCCCGCACGCCGCCCCTCGCCCCGCACACCGCCCCTCGCCCCGCACCCCGCCCCTCGCCCCGCACACCGCCCCGCACGCCGCCCCTCGCCCCGCACACCGCCCCTCGCCCCGCACCCCGCCCCTCGCCCCGCACACCGCCCCGCACACCGCCCCTCGCCCCGCACCCCGCCCCTCGCCCCGCACACCGCCCCTCGCCCCGCACACCGCCCCGCACACCGCCCCTCGCCCCGCACACCGCCCCGCACACCGCCCCTCGCCCCGCACACCGCCCCGCACACCGCCCCGCACCCCGCACACCGCCCCTCACCCCGCGGGCAGCGGAGTGTGAGCCGCTCCAAGGCCCAGGCCAGCTCGGCCCAAAGCACGATGGGAGGTTAAGGCACACGAATGCGGGGAAGGTCACCGCTCATTTCTCTACGAGCCGGGCCTCAGGGTCTCCCCGCGCAGGGGCCGTCCGGGGGCGTGTGGACGCCCTTCTCGGGCTCTCCGGCCCCACTGCTGACCCCTGCTCCCGAGGACGGAGGACTCGTCCCCCTCCTCCCAGGTAAGGCCGGAGGTCCCCTGCCCCCTCAGGCCTCGGGGCTGAGCCGCTGCCCTGTCCCAGGAGGACCAGCACCCCCTCCCGGTGGCTGGGAGGGGGCAGGCGGGAGCTGAGGGGGACACCACCGCCATCCATGTCCACACCCGGTGAGGCCACACCGAGGGCGCGGCCGAGGCAGAGGGCCCAGGCGAGCGGTGAGGTCTGAGCTCTGCTGACACCGGGCTGGCCCGGCCACGGCCCTGGCAGAGGAGGCGAGGGGCAGTGGCTCCCCGGAACAGGAGGTGTGGGTGCCCCACGCAGGCCTGACCACCCAGGACGGGCTGGGCTCCTGGCGCCGGGGGAACAGCGGAGCCGGGGCGTGGGGAGGGGCTGCGGGGCGGCAGGTGTGAAGAGACGCCCCAAAGGGCTGTGAGCCGAGTGTTAGAGAAGAGGCCCCTCGGGACAAGCAGTGCGAGCTCAGACCCGCCACCCTCAGCAGAAGGATGGTGTGAACGGGGACCCCTCAGCTGGGTGGATGGTGTGAACGGGGACCCCTCAGCAGGACGGATGGTGTGAACGGGGACCCTCAGCAGAAGGATGGTGTGAACGGGGAACTGGGGGACCCCTCAGCTGGACGGATGGTGTGAACGGGGACCCTCAGCTGGACGGATGGTGTGAACGGGGACCCCTCAGCTGGACGGATGGTGTGAACGGGGACCCTCAGCTGGAAGGATGGTGTGAACGGGGACCCTCAGCAGAAGGATGGCGTGAACGGGGAACTGGGGGACCCCTCAGCAGAAGGCTGGTGCGAACGGGGACCCTCAGCAGAAGGATGGCGTGAACGGGGACCCCTCAGCTGGACAGATGGTGTGAACGGGGACCCCTCAGCAGGAAGGGTGGTGTGAATGGGGACCAGGGACCCCTCAGCAGAAGGACGGCGTGAACGGGGACCAGGGACCCCTCAGCTGGACGGATGGTGTGAACAGGGACCCCTCAGCTGGAAGGATGGTGTGAACGGGGACCCCTCAGCTGGACGGATGGTGTGAACGGGGACCCTCAGCAGAAGGATGGCGTGAACGGGGACCGGGGACCCCTCAGCAGAAGGATGGCGTGAACGGGGACCCCTCAGCAGGAAGGATGGTGTGAACAGGGAAATGGGGGCCCCTCAGCAGGAAGGACAGTGTGAACAGGGAACCGGGGACCCCTCAGCAGGAAGGACGGTGTGAATGGGGAACTGGGGACCCCTCAGGTGGAAAGACGGTGTGAACAGGGAACCGGGGACCCCTCAGCTGGAAAGATGGCGTGAACGGGGGCCCCTCAGCAGGAAGGATGGTGTGAACGGGGACCCCTCAGCAGAAGGACGGCGTGACTCAGATCGAAAAGCAAACGCCAGGTTTATTCACTGGAGGTGGACGGGGCTCAATCCTGCCCAGTTCTCTGCGGGAGCTGGCCTGAGCCCCGAGGGTGAGGCGTGCGGGGACAGGAGGCCCAGAATCCTGGGCGCCTGGCAGTCTGTGTCTGAGTCTGTGCCTGAGTCTGAGTGTGTCTGTCTGAGTCTGCGGGCGGCTCGGGGACCCAGGCTCACGGTTCTCCATGGACGTCTGACGGGCGGGGAGGGCCCTGGCCCTGGCCAGCCGGGCACCTGCTCCTCCCTCAGCTCCTGGGACGACGGTGACTCTAACAAGCGGAACCTCAGACCACAGATCGGCAACAACACGGAGAACCCACAGCCGCGTAGTAAACAGGCGGACAGCTGGACTTTGTCCTCGGCCCGGGAGGCCCTGAGCCCGCCACCCCCTCCCCTCCTCGCTCCTCCCTTGGGATGGCTTCTGGAACACAGGTGCTGGGCCTCACCCGGGGCCATGACCTTCAGCGGGCCTCACCCGGGGCCATGACCTTCAGCGGGCCTCACCCGGGGCCATGACCTTCAGCGGGCCTCACCCGGGGCCATGACCTTCAGCGGGCCTCACACCAGGGTCATGACCTTCAGCGTGGTGGGCTGGAACCGGCAGATCTTCTTCTTCAGGGCCTTGGAGGCCTTGATGCGGCAGAGCCGGGGCACCGGGGACGGGGGCGGCTGGGAGCCGGGGGTGCCCGGGGGCTGTGGCCGGCTCCCCGTGTCCCGGACGCCGCCATGGGCACCGGGCAGGCGGGCGCGGGCCGAGAGCTCCAGGGACGACCGCCACCTGCGCTGCCTGTGCCGGGCCGCCTCCCGGGGGGCCGGGGCCTGGGCGGGCGCCCCGAGGCCTCCCCGGACGGCCGCCGGCACGGGGACGAGGAGGGACACCGGGAAGAGGCTGCACTCGGAGCAGGAGCGGCCGGGAGCCTCCCGGGCCTGGGGGGGCCTCCTCCTCAGTCCAGCGCCCCACGCGGGGGGCGGCTGGGGGGCCAGGAGGGCGCCCCCGGGGGGCGGCTGCCTCCCTGGCCTGGGCGCCTTGCTGCTGGCCGCCCTCCCCATCTTCACCGCCTTCGTGGTGGGCAGGCCGGGGCTCTGGCCCATGTGCGGCCCCGTTGGGGCAGCGCTGCTGGCGACAGAGGGGGGGTGCAGCCGGGGCCCCCGGCCCGGCCTGGCGGGCAGCCTGGCGGGGCCCTCCCGGCCGGTGGGAGCCGCCTGCTGGGCTCGGGGTACACCCCCTAGCTGAGGGGAGCCCGGGATGGTGCCCGCACAGACGCAGCTTCGGGGAGGTCTCTGTCCCCCCTCCGGAAGGCTGCTGGGGGGCGGGGGGCTCCCCAGGGGCGCAGGTCCCTGCTGCTCGAGGCTGTCCCCACCTGTGCTCCCCCTCAGAGCCCTCCCTCCCACATCGGCTCTTCTGGGGGCGCAGGCCAGCCCCTCTGGGCGACACCCCGTCTCGGGTCTCCAGGACGGGGCTCCCTGCTCCCCCACACGGCTTCCAAGCAGCTTGTCTATGTAGGCTCGGGCCGCCCCGGGCTCGGGGGCCGGCCCCGTCCAGGCGGGACATGGCGCCGAGGGGCCGGGAAGGGCCTGGCTTGGGGCAGGCGGGGGGCGGTCCCGCTGCGGGGGCCCCGTGGGCAGAGCGAAGAGGGGGCTCTGCAGAGCCACGGCGTGCAGGGGGCTGGGGTACAGGTACACCTCCCCGCCCCCCTTGGACACCAGGTCGCGCTGGTACTTGGGGTCCAGCAGGGGGGGCAGGGGGCCCAGCCCGCGGCGGAGCAGCACTGAGGACGCGGTGCTGCCGGCCGCCGGGGGCCCCGCCGCAGCCCGGAGGACCCGCTCGAGGCCACCTGGGGACGGGGAGGGGAGGGGAGGGGCCGGACGTGAGGGCGAGCTGGCACAGCCCACCGCCGGGACGGGCCTTCCCACCCTTCCCGCTCTCTCACCGGCTCTCCCCACCACCCTCACCGGCTCTCCCCACCACCCTCACCGGCTCTCCCCACCGCCCTCACCGGCTCTCCCCACCGCCCTCACCGGCTCTCCCCACCGCCCTCACCGGCTCTCCCCACCACCCTCACCGGCTCTCCCCACCGCCCTCACCGGCTCTCCCCACCACCCTCACCGGCTCCCCCCACCACCCTCACCGACTCTCCCCACCGCCCTCACCGGCTCTCCCCACCGCCCTCACCGACTCTCCCCACCGCCCTCACCGGCTCCCCCCACCACCCTCACCGACTCTCCCCACCGCCCTCACCGGCTCCCCCCACCACCCTCACCGGCTCTCCCCACCACCCTCACCGGCTCTCCCCACCACCCTCACCGGCTCTCCCCACCACCCTCACCGGCTCTCCCCACCACCCTCACCGGCTCTCCCCACCGCCCTCACCGGCTCTCCCCACCACCCTCACCGGCTCTCCCCACCGCCCTCACCGGCTCTCCCCACCACCCTCACCGGCTCTCCCCACCGCCCCCACCGGCTCTCCCCCACCACCCTCACCGGCTCTCCCCACCGCCCTCACCGGCTCTCCCCACCACCCTCACCGGCTCTCCCCACCGCCCTCACCGGCTCTCCCCACCACCCTCACCGGCTCTCCCCACCGCCCTCACCGGCTCTCCCCACCGCCCTTCCCGCTCTCCTCACCGGCTCTCCCCACCACCCTTCCCGCTCTCTCACCGGCTCTCCCCACCGCCCTCACCGGCTCTCTCCACCGCCCTTCCCGCTCTCCTCACCGGCTCTCCCCACCGCCCTCACCGGCTCTCTCCACCGCCCTTCCCGCTCTCCTCACCGGCTCTCCCACCACCCTCACCGGCTCTCCCCACCGCCCTCACCGGCTCTCCCCACCACCCTCACCGGCTCTCCCCACCGCCCTCACCGGCTCTCCCCACCACCCTCACCGGCTCTCCCCACCGCCCTCACCGGCTCTCCCCACCGCCCTCACCGGCTCTCCCACCACCCTCACCGGCTCTCCCCACCGCCCTCACCGGCTCTCCCCACCGCCCTCACCGGCTCTCCCCACCACCCTCACCGGCTCTCCCCACCACCCTTCCCGCTCTCTCACCGGCTCTCCCCACCACCCTCACCGGCTCTCCCCACCACCCTTCCCGCTCTCTCACCGGCTCTCCCCACCGCCCTCACCGGCTCTCTCCACCGCCCTTTCCCGCTCTCCTCACCGGCTCTCCCCACCGCCCTCACCGGCTCTCTCCACCGCCCTTCCCGCTCTCCTCACCGGCTCTCCCCACCGCCCTCACCGGCTCTCCCCACCGCCCGTCCCCCTCTCTCCCCCCACCGGCTCTCCCCCCACCACCCTCACCGGCTCTCCCCACCGCCCTCACCGGCTCTTCCCCACCACCCCTCACCGGCTCTCCCCACCGCCCTCACCGGCTCTCCCCACCACCCTCACCGGCTCCTCCCCACCGCCCTCACCGGCTCTCCCCACCACCCTCACCGGCTCTCCCCCACCGCCCTCACCGGCTCTCCCCACCACCCTCACCGGCTCTCCCCCACCGCCCCTCACGGCTCTCCCCACCACCCTCACCGGCCTCTCCCCACCACCCTCTCCCCCACGCTCCTCACCGGCTCTCCCCACCACCCTCACCGGCTCTCCCACCCCCTTCACCGGCTCTCCCACAGCCCTTCCGCTCTCCTCACCCCTTCCCGCTCTCCTCACCGGCTCTCCCCACCGCCTTCCCGCTCTCCTCACCCCCTTCCCGCTCTCCTCACCGGCTCTCCCCACCGCCCTCACCGGCTCTCCCCACCGCCCTTCCCGCTTTCCTCACCGGCTCTCCCCACCACCCTCACCGGCTCTCCCCACCACCCTTCCCACTCTCCCCACCACCCTCACCGGCTCTCCCCACCGCCCTCACCGGCTCTCCTCACCGCCCTTCCCGCTCTCCTCACCGGCTCTCCTCACCGCCCTTCCCGCTCTCCTCACCGGCTCTCCTCACCGCCCTTCCCGCTCTCCTCACCGGCTCTCCCCACCACCCTCACCGGCTCTCCCCACCACCCTCACCGGCTCTCCCCACCACCCTTCCCACTCTCCCCACCGCCCTCACTGGCTCTCCCCACCGCCCTTCCCACTCTCCCCACCGCCCTTCCCGCTCTCCTCACCGGCTCTCCCCACCGCCCTCCCCGCTCTCCTCACCTGTGGACACGGGCCTGGGCCGGGAGGGGCCCGCCCCGTCCTCAGGGGCCGGAAGCCCCCGCACAGACAGGGGTGCCCCGCACAGGGTGGTCTCGTCGGCGGACCGGGGCCGGCTGGCGCTGGCCGAGGGGGTGCGGGGCGGCAGGGCGCCGAGGGAGCAGGACGGGCGGTCACTGCACACGGACGTGCAGGAGGCAGACAGGGAGCCGGAGCCGCCCTCGCTCATCTCGTAGAAGCCTGGGCGCAGAGAGGGCAGCGCAGGGCGTGGGGTGTGTATGTGTGCGGTGTGTGTATGGTGTGTATATGTGCGTGGCATGTGTATGGGTGTGTGGTGATGTGTATAGGGATGTGCATGTGCATGTGTATGCATACATGTGTGCATATGTGTGCCACACACATATACCCACGGGTGTGCGAAACTTCTATGTATGCACACGTGCATGAACACACATATATGTATCTATACACACAAGCATATGGCTTACATGTGCACACATGTACACGTTCGTGTACAAACATATTTACACACGTGCCTACATGCGCACGTGCAAGGCACACATGTTTGTACACACATGTCCACACACATATGTGTGTGCATCTATGCCTATTTTTTTGTGTGTGCATACATTCAAGTGTGCCTGGTGTGTGATGTGCACACACATGTGCCCATGTCTCTGTGTGGTGTGCGTGTATGCACATGTAGACACACGTGCCTGTGTCTGTCTGTGGCGTGTACCTGAGCTGGGCCGGCTGTCGCCATCGGGGCCCTCGGGGGTCGTCCTGTGCACGTCGAGCTGCAGCTCGCTGATCCGCTGGTCCAGCTGGTCCAGGTGGGCTTTCAGGCCGAGGTCCTGGCGTCGCAGCCGGAGCTGCCCAGGGAAGAGCAGACACGGGACACAGGCGTTTCCATCGTGGATACAGGCCAAGCCCTGAGGTTCCTGTGCCACGCGCAACCTCACGCCAGCAGCAACCCGCCCGCTCACAGGAGAGGAGCCTTGGACCCTCCCGCCCTCGGTTTCCTCCTGAACGAGCCGGCAACGGGACACGTAAAATACACACACGTCTCAGACGGAGGGACACGTAAAGTACACACACGTCTCAGACGGAGGGACACGTAAAATACACACACGTCTCAGACGGAGGGACACGTAAAGTACACACACGTCTCATACGGAGGGGTGGGGGGCCAGGAACACAGACAACGAGGACCCTCATCGGCCCTCCTCACACCCACACTGGGCTCGAGCCTGTACACGGGCCTGTGTCCTGACCAGGGTCGAACCCGGGACCCCTCATTCCCCACTGAGCCACACCATCCAGGGCCAACTGGGTTCTTTTCCTACAGACACAGGACACGGCCTGCCTGAGGGGGATCAGGAGCCGGCAGCACAGAACCCCGTGGCAGGCTCCGCACACAGACGCCCACCTGCTGCCTAGGTTTCTGCATGTGTTATACATGCACTGCACAGGTGTTCATGTTATACAACGTACAGTGCGTGCGTGTATTGTATACCGCACACAAACACACACGTGTATAGACAATATACTCTACACATAGCACACGTGCACGTTATATACTAGTATGTGACACATGGGTGTTTATATAATATATTACACGTGGGCATGCTATATAATTTACATGTGTACATTTTATAGAACATATAATACATGTCTGTGGTTAGAGCTCATAATACACCCACACATGTTCACACACAAATGTGTATATTACACAACATGGGCATATACCTGTGTATGGTAGCTATGGCATGTGCATGTATCACATACCACATGACACACATGTGGGGAGAGCTTATCCTGCATGTTCACACGTGCTGGTAAGTGCAGGTGAACCACTGGCCCCGAATGTTTCACAAACGCTGATTTCTTCTTTCAGCGATAAAACCTCACCGTTTCCAAGGTCTGCTGCATACACTTCTTGTTTTGATTAACAATTAATTTGGGGGGAAATAATTAAGGAGCGTAATTCCGTGGTTCGTCCTGTCGAAGGAAATCATTAATTGCGTTTCGATTGTGCCAGGGAGACAGGGGGTCCCGAGGCCGATTATGGGCCCGGAGATGCTCAGTGACCTCCCTGCGGTGAGAACGTGGCGGCGAGGACGCAGCCGTGCAGGGCAGCGCGGGCCGGACGGCTCCCCAGCAGGTCCCTGGTCCCTGAGCCCGCGGGCGGGTCCCCGCCAGCCTGTCCGTAACCAGCTGCTGGGGACCACGAAGGCGCTCCAGGGCCGCACACCACACACGGCCTGAGGCCACAGGCGCCCCCCGTGGGCGGCCCCTCCCTCTCCCTGTCCTCCCTGTCCCTCCATCAGCAGCCACGGCCGGCCCGGTGAGCCTCTGGGACGGCAGGCAGGAGCCGCCGGGGTCCTCGCTGTGACCTGGAACACAGGTCTCCCCGAGGGGTCAGGGGTCAGGGTCAGCCCCAGGGCCACACGGCGTGGTGTCTGCCCGGCCCCGGCACCAGCGGTCCCTCGCGGTGCCTGTGCAGCTGCCGGGACTCGGGGCAAGTCAGGACCCGCAGAGTCAACCCGGGGAATTCCCACTAACATCCCAGGCCGCTGCCTCTGCCTCCCCTCCCGCCCGGCAGCGCCTCCTGCTGGCGGAGCCTCCTGCCGCAGCCTCCTCAGGGGCTGGCCCATCTCCTGAAAGGAAGCAGGTGGCACGGCCGCCCAGGTGAGCACAGGCTGCCCTGACCAACCACGTCACTGCTGGGTCAGAGGTCACGGCTTCCTCACAGGGCGCGGTCAGTACTGAACTCTCCTCTCTGAGACAGCCGGCCGCCTGCTGCCCCGCGCGCACCGACCAGGCCGAGGGCCCTCTGACCAGGGCGAGGGCGCGCTCCTGTGGCTGCAGACCAGGAACCGGTGAGTGTGACTGAGGGGAGCCGGGCTCACCCTCCCCGGGAGCCTGCAGGGTGAGGCCCTGAGGCCGGTGGGTCCGGATGGTCCATAACCCTCCCCCTGCCTGGGCGTGGGCAGGGCGTGTGCCTGGGCGTGTGCACGTGTGTGTGTGCGTGCTGGGAGTTCCTGGTCCATGGGGCCGGGACGCACCTGGCTGTACTCTGCACCCAGGGCAGGGACACTCCCGCCCGGCCCCGAGCTTTGTGCTGAGCTGATGTCACACCCGGTCTCCGTTCGGATCACGTAATCCGCCCGAGAACGAAGTCCCAGCACACGGTCTGCATGTTCCTTCTGGTCCCACTTTTAAAACTTTAAACAAAGAGCCTGTTTGATCCTCCCCTGCACAGGCTGCTGTAATTAAAGGCTGGTGCTCACCGGCGATTTGTTCCTGGAAGTTAATCATCAACCTGTGCACCCCCCTGCAGCCCCCACATCTCCCCCACCCCCAAACAAGCACAGCTCAGGGCGGCCCCAGCCTGCAGCACGGGCACCCCCAGCTCGGGTGAGGGGAGAGGGTCCGGGCGCAAACACGGCCTCACTAAGCACGCTCCATGGCAGGTAGGGGGCTGGGGCCAGGGGCCCTCCCACCACCCCCTCCGCCCTCCGGCAGCTGCTGGACGGCTGCAGAGGGCGGGGAGACCCGGGGCCTGGGCCGGCCGGGCTTCCTGGCCACTCGGTAACCACAGCGGCTCTCACAGGGACGGACCCAGGCTCTGGAGTTGGATGAGAACAGCCCGGAGCCTGTGCGTCTCCCTTAGAAACTGCCACCCCAGACTCCGAGCTGGTCCCCCAGGACGGAGCCGCACAGCCGGCCAGAGCAGCGGGCCTGCAGTGTCTGTCCACAGAGGGCCTGGCTGGGGGTCACGGAGACCCCCCCCCCCCCCCCCCCCCGCCTGGGACCCAGGACCCGCCTCCCCCGCCGGCCAAGCTTCCCGAACCTGTTGTCACAGTAACACCCCACACCCCACACATTCGGGCCCTCGGGGTGCGCTGTGCACAGGCACTCCCGCCCGGAACCTGCGGCGGGGGCAGCCGGACCAGGCCTCCCCCAGAACCGCCAGACCGACCCCACGCGCTGTCCTCAGGAAGGCGGGAACGCAAGCCCATGCACCGCGCCCGTGTCCGCGTCCCCCCAGTGGCTTCCAGGATGGGGGGGCCTGCGCCTGCCGCCCCCGCCCCCCCCGGCCCCCCGCCCCCCTTACCAGCTGCTCCTGCAGCGCCGCCAGCGCCGCCTCCAGCTGCTCCTGTCCGCGGGGCCCGCGGGGGGCGGCGGGGGGCCCGGGGGCGGGCAGGGGGCCCTCGGCCAGGGCGCCCCGCACCAACGCCTCCTGCCGCTCCCGCAGCCCCTGCAGCTCCCGCAGCCCTGCCAGCGCCGCGCGCAGCCGGGCGCCCACCCTGCAGCGGTCCCAGCCCGCCGGCCCGGGCTCCCCGGGCGCCCCCATCCTGGCTCCGGCTCCGGCTCCCGGCTCCCTGGATCCCGCTCCCCGCTCCCGGAGGCCCCGCCCGCAGGTGGCCCAGGTGGGAGGGACCTGTCGGCGCTGGGAGGGCGGCCCTGGCCCCACCCCAGGTCAGAGCCTGGGCCCTGGAGGCTGAGCTGGGAGCCAGGACCCTGGGTCTCAGCCATTGGACCCTCCCAGCGGGCGGGGAGGGGGAGGAGGAGTGCGGAGAGGGAGGGGAGGGAGGGGAGAGAAGGGGAGGGAGAGGAGGGAGGGGAGAGAAGGGGAGGGAGGGGAGGGAGGGGAGAGAAGGGGAGGGAGAGGAGGGAAGGGAGGGAGGAGAGGAAGGGGAGGGAGCAAACTTGGAAAAAACTTCTGAAAAGACGCAGTGTCCCCGTGAAGCCCGCGTCCACTGGGCGTGTCTGCCCTTTGGACCCGGCTTGTCTCTTTACAAACAGCAGCCTCGGCCCTGGCCGGTGCGGCTCAGTGGACGGAGCACTGGCCTGAGGACTGGACGATCCCAGGTTTGATTCCCGTCAAGGGCACATGTTCGGGTTGCTGGCTTGGTCCCCATAGGGGTGTGCAGGAGGCAGCCGATCCATGATTCTCCTCATGGATGCTTCTCTCTATCCCTTCTCCCTTCCTCTCAGAAACCAATCAATATATATATTTTAAAAATAGCAGCTCCGTGCAGCTGTGATCGGCAGAGCAGGAGCCCCCGGGTGTGGGCAGCGTCTGGCTGTGATGTGATGGGCCTTCCCCGGTGGCTGACAGTGAGGCTGACGGAGAGGCTGATGTGCTGGGGGAGCGGGTGAGGCCCCTTTGGTACAGGCCCCGTGAGGCACAGGGATAGGACAGCCGTCTCCTAACATGCTGCCCAGGTCAAGCGCTCCAGACGCGGTACCAGCCACCACTGAGCAGCCTTGTCTGTCTGCTCTAACCCCGCGTGGTCCCCCCGCTCAGGGAGGCCCGTGTGCTCTGGGGGGCTGGGAGGCCCCCCGCCATTCCTCCTGCCTCCGTCCGACCCCTCCAAGGCTCCCCTCCTGGCCCTTCCGCAGCCTCACAGGACTGCCCCCCCCACCCCCCTGGCGGTTGCCTTGCAGTCTCTCAAGTATCTGGGGCCTTGGCCTGCGCTGGCCCTGCCACTGGGAGGCAGGTGGGCTTCTGTTCAGGGCTCACCTTCCCCACCAGCTCCGTCTGACTCTGCAGTGTCCCCGGCCTCCCTCCACTTTAGTTTTCTTTGAAAAAATATCTTTATTGGTTTCAGAGAGGAAGGGAGGAGGGGGCAAGAAATAGAAACATCCATGATGAGAGAGAATCATGGATCAGCTGCCTCTTGCACACCCCCTACTGGGGAAAACCCAGGCCTGTGCACTTGGCTGGAATCGAACCTGGGACCCTTCAGTCCGCAGGCCGATGCTTTATTCATGGGCCAGACCAGATCCTGTTTGCCATCTGCGGGCACCGCATGGTTTGCCCCTCATGGTGGTTATGGCTCCTCCCTCCCCCTCCCTCACCCCGGGCTGCAGGCTTGGTGAGAGGGAGACGCTGTTTTCAAACGGAGGCAGCTGAGCTGCCCTGGGTGGAGGGCGGCAGGGCTCCAGCAGCTGCCGAGAGAGCGGCTCACGGCTCTTCACCGGGATGCCCGCGGAGGGTGCTGGGCCGGTGTTTCAGCCGCTTTTCCCTCGTGGTCATGCCTGACCCGCGCCGGCTCCGGGAGCTCGCCGCGTGGGGAGGCGACGGCTCCTCGCAGTCTGACGCTGCACATCGGCGCGGGGACGGCCGACACCACGGCCACGTGGGCACCTGCGGGTTCAGCTCACACCCCAGCCCGGCAGCCCGGCCCGCCCCCCTGCGGCCCCCCGCGGGCGTGGCCCACAGCTGCCCCAGGTGCCGCTCGGGGCTGGCTCTGGTCCCTTCACCGGCTCCGAGTGGAGGAGTCAGCCACGCCGTCACGGGCAAGGCGAGTCCCGTCCAGACGCCCCCAGGAAGACGCGGAACCCTGGTGTGCTGACTCAGTCCTCCCCTCACCGCCTGACCCACAGCCCAGGTGTAGCAGCTGGACAGTGTTTTCGGAAAAACGTGTTTCCAGTGTCGGTGAGAGTGGGCAGCGAGGCGCAGGGTCTGCCGTGCCCTGGGCTCAGGAGTCCCCTGCACCGGGGTTCCCCCACGTGCAGGACAGGCCCTCTGCCCGGGACCAGGACCAGAGAGCATCTGGCACCGTGGCGCTGGGCCCTGGGGGAGCTGGGCCTGGGGGAGCTGGGCCTGGGGGAGCTGGGCCGTGGTGGAGCTGGGCCGTGGAGGAGCTGGGCCGTGGGGGAGCTGGGCCGTGGGGGAGCTGGGCCGTGGGGGAGCTGGGCCGTGGGGAAGCTGGGCCTGGGGGAGCTGGGCCTGGGGGAGCTGGGCCCGTGGGGGAGCTGGGCCTGGGGGAGCTGGGCCTGGGGGAGCTGGGCTGTGGGGGAGCTGGGCCGTGGGGGAGCTGGGCTGTGGGGGAGCTGGGCCGTGGGGGAGCTGGGCCTGTGGTGGTCGTGGTGGAGCTAAGCCCATGGGGGAGCTGGGTCAGAGGTGGAGCTGGGACCGTGGTGGGGCTGGGGCTGTGGTGGCCGTGGCGCTGGGGCCGTGGGGGAGCTGGGTCGGAGGTAACCTGGGTTGGAGGTGGAGCTGGGCCGTGGGGGAGCTGGGCCTGGGGGAGCTGGGCCTGGGGGAGCTGGGCCCGTGGTGGCGCTGGGACTGTGTGTGTGTGTGTGGCTTCCTTTCCCACCCTCATGTTGGTTAAGCACACCCCCAGGCATGGGCTGTGGGAAAGCAGGGCCCGGAATGAGCTCAGGGTGGGACAGGCGGCCAGGAGCTGGGAGAACGGGGTGGGGAGCACACCCTCGCTGGGCGCTGACCGCATTACACAGACAAGCCATCACTCAGCGCTGTCACTCCGCACTCCGCCCGCTGCCTCCACGCCCTGTGCCCGCTGCCCTCTGCACTGACACCCTGGGCGTAAGCGGACACACCCAGGAGCCGCCCCTCACACCTGTCCTCACCCAGCCCTGCCCCAGGGTTCCCATCTGCCCTCCCGTCTGGGCAGAGGCTGGCAGAGGCTGGCAGAGGTGCGGGGAGGAGCCGGCCACCCCCTCAGGTCCACGCATCCCCTCCTGGCCTTGCCCCACCTCTGGCCCCAAGTCAGGAGCGTGGGAGGCAAGGGATTATGGGAAAACTTTGGGGAGAAAAACTTCAAGATGAGAAAATTGTCTTTTCCTGACAACATGCACCACAGCCTCCTGGGAGTCCCTGACCCCTCAGCTGGAGCCGAGAGCCGTGTCCTCTGTGCACTGCAGGGAGGTGGGGGGCAGGCACCGCCCACACCTGTCGGTGGAATGCGTGTCCATCTGACTGGCTTTTCTGAAATTATCTCCTTCCACACTCACCCCGTCCCAACCCCTGACACCCCAACTGCCTCCACCCCCACACCTCTCCGGTCTCCAGGTGGAGGCAGCACCCGGTGGGCGTGTGGGGTCCCGGGGAGCCTCGGGGAGCCTGCCAGGCAGGGAGGGTTGTAGGAAGGGGAGAGGTGGGCGGAGAGGAAGCGTTCCCTTCTTCCTGGAACGGAATTCTATTCCTGTTTCCATCGAAAGATAAATCACAAGCAGATCTCAGGGCAGCGGGGCGAGCTCCTCCTGAGGGAGCCCCCCCTGTGGCACCTCTGTTGCCCTCCTCCCATCTCGGCTCCCCCCCCCCCCCTGCTCCCCTCCAACCCCCTCCTCCCATCCCGGCTCCTCTCCTCCCCGGCTCCCCTCCTCCCCCTTCTCCTATCCCGGCTCCTCTCCTTCCATCCCCCCGGCCTCCCTCCTCCCATCCCGGCTCCCCTCCCCCCCCAGCTGCCCTCCTCCCATCCCCCCGGCCTCCCTCCTCCCATCCCAGCTCCCTCCCCCCCAGCTCCCTCCTCCCATCCCGGCTCCCCCCCCCCCCCCCCCGGCTCCCTCCTCCCGCCTGGGTTCCAGGGGCCCAGGGTCCGCTCCCGCATCTGCAAACAGCCCGAGCCTGTGGCCTGTCCCCTCTGCAGGGACGCGATCCGAGTGTCTGGTGTCTGAGTGAGGGACAGGCCCCCACACGGTCATCCTGACGGTCAGCCCCGGTGGGAACTGCGGACGCAGCGTGTCCTTCACAGACTCGAGCCAGGTGTGATGTGGTCAGGGCCCGTGGCTCAGGCTGAGGCCTGCGGGGATGGCAATTTCTGGTGTGAGCAGAGCGCCCCCTGGTGTGCATGCGGGGAACCACAGCAGGTGTGTCTTCCTCCTGCAGATCAGCTTCAACACTCCCTGCCTCAGATCACGCTTTAGAAGCCAAGGGGGGCTCGCGGGCGGCTCAGCGGAGACCTGGGAGCCAGGCGGCCACGGCTCAATTCCAGCCAAGGGCGCGTGCCCGGGGGCGGGCTGGAGCCTCAGTGCGGGGCGTGCAGGAGGCAGCCGGCCCGTGACTCTCTCATCATGGATGTTTCTTTCTCCCCCTCCCCCTCCCCTTTCCTCTTCCCCCTCCCCCTCCCTCCCCCTCCCCCTCCCCCTCCCTTCCCCCTTTCCCTCTCCCTTTCCCTCTCCCTCTCTCCCTCTCCCTCTCCCTCTCCCTCTCCCTCTCCCTCTCCCTCCCCTCCCCCTCCCCCTCTCCCTCTCCCTCTCCCTCTCCCTCCCCCTCCCCCTCCCCCTCTCCCTCTCCCTCTCCCTCTCCCTCTCCCTCCCCCTCTCCCTCTCCCTCTCCGACTCCAACAATAAAAAATATACATTTCTAAAAAGCCAATGAAGATAAGCTCATTTCGAGTCGATCCCCGCCTCCTCCCGGGGCTCCCGAGAGGCCTCCTCCCGTCCCTGGTCCGACCCCTCCGACCCCTCCTTCTGTGTTCCCTGTCCTTCCCACTTGCCGGGACTCAGGACCAGGGTTCAAATTCAGACTTTGACAATAACCCCTCCCCCCACCCAATTTGGAGAAGTTACTTAAACTCTCCAAGCTCCGTTCCCCACCTGCAAACCCGGGATGGAGTGGGTGGGCACGCAGCTGGGGAGTTGGCTG